TCTTCAGTGGGTAAAGTCTGCTGTACAGCACCCCACAATCCAATCTCCTTCCAAAAGTCCGGCCTCTGAACATATGAGCCTTTTGGCAGACATTGTAGATTACATCTGTCTTGGTTACTCTTCTGTCATTGCTGAGACAAAATACCCAACACTCGAATTAAGGGAATGGAGATTTCAGTCCATAATCAGCTGGCTCCAAGGCAGAGTGGCATGGCACAGGGCAACAGTCCAAGGAGGTGGAAGACCGCAAAAGGGAGAGAGCAAGCTCCTTTCTACCCTTATATCGAAACCAGGGTGCTGTCCTGTGGTGCTGATGGCACTCACGCCATCTCCAGGGCCTCCTCTTGCTCAGGATGAAGATGTTTGCAAAGGGAGGCCCCTGGCCCCCAGTTGAGTTAAACATCAACCATTACAACACCCTAGTGTACATGGAAGAAATGCAATGTTCTGGGTTGGCTGAGGGCTCGCTGTGTTCCAGGACCTAGGACAGTGTCCTGACCGCTAAGCTTGCCCATCAGTAAGAGAAAGCAGCTGTCCTCTCACAACAAGTGTGTTCTACTTCAGTAGATGGTCGCTAAGACACCATCGTCCTGTCTTGGAAGTGAGACAGACCTGGCAAGGCATTGCTAGTACTCACCTAGAATTGCAGCGCTCTGAGAGCTGAGGCAGGAGGATCATAAGTGTGAACCAAGCCTGGGCAACTTAGTAAAACCCTGTTTCAAAATGAAAAAAAAAATCAGGCATGCTTATTATTATTTGCCTCTAATCCCAGTACTTGGGAGGCTGAGGCAACAGGGTTGCCATGAGTTCAAGGCTGGTCTGGGCTATGTAGTGAGACCCTCTCTCAACAAACAAAAATGAATGAGTAAATGAATAAATGGATCTCCTATACAGATAGCTCAGTGTCAGGGCCCTGGATTCTGAAATTGCCTTTTTTCTTCTTCTTAGTTTATATGTAGTTTAGAAATTTTTTGGAAAGGGGCTTTTTTTTTAGGGATGTTTTAGAAATCTAAGCACCACACAAATGTTAGAGATTACATTTTTAGAATCTGTCCTCAGGAGGTTTGGAAGCATTGCATCTGCTTAGATGACAGCTGATCACAAAATGAGCCTGGGAAATCTTTGCCTTAGAGACTTGTGAAGGCCACATGCAAGGCACACACCTAGGGACAGAGGGGAAGTGCCCGTGAGGGTCAGCCAATGAGGCCCAGTCTCAGAAGGCGTATTGATAAGGTCTTCAGGAAGGTGTGATTATCAGCTAACTTGAGCAGGGAAGATCTGGCCTGCACTAGGAAGCTGAGTCCCAGACTCACTGGCCACAGAGCAGGGAAACGGCAGGGCAGCCTGCATCAGCTGCCAGGGCTGGGGCTGCTCTCTCCAGAGGGCTGCTCAGCTCTTCAGCCTGGCACACCCTCTGAGGAGCCAGGTGACTGGCTTCTCTGTTACTCCTTACTTCTCACTTGCTTGTGGGCAGGTGGGGCTGCCTGTATTCCACAGGTGTTTATGGGTGCTCTGGAAAACCCCTCCCAGCCCTTCACAAGCCCAGTGTGCACTGAGGCTGTGGCGCCTGGCTTTGCTGCTGCTTAGAGCTTAGCCCAGCTTTGGGGTGCATCTGGCAGGCAAACCCTGCCTTCCTGTGTGGGTGCTCAGCAGGGGCTGGTACTCAGCCAAGGTTCTTTGCTGCACGACACTCCCTCTGCACTTCCTGACCTTGGAGCATCCTCTCCAGCCTGACCACAACCCTCGTTTCCTTGGAATGGTGTGCAGGAAGTTTTTGGTGCTTAGGATTTACTTAAGGAAAGGCTCAATAACGAAAATGATCAGCATTTCTGGGCCCTCGTTCTGCATTTTTCAGTTAATGAGACACTATGACCTTCGGTTCTTCCTATTACCCAGCTGTCAAATGGAATAAAACCACAGCTATACCTCTGTGAGATGTTAGACATGCATGTCATTAAGCCACTGACTCCTTGGAAGAGCTCTGTGGTCAGCCTCCAGCCTCCAGACTGTTTTCCTGAATGTTAACAAATTTCAAAATTGCAGTAGCAGCAAGATGAAACTTTAAATGCGAGATTGCCTGGCTTAAGAGGTGTTTTCTGCTTCAGGTGATGTAACCATTTTCTTAAGAGGGCTTTATGAAAGAACAGATTGGAGGTTGTATTTTTCAAAATACCTGTTGCATGAGTGGCTTAGTGAGAAGTGATAAAATGTCGTTAGCAAGTTGCTGTGGGTGAGAGGAACCAGTAAGTGTGCCCCAGTGAGTTACCAGATAACCCAGAAAGGCTCCAGAAACAGTTCTGAGAGGTGGGTGAGAGGAAGAGGGGAACAAGAGTGAGCTTTGCTGTGGGCCTTGGTGCAGCCCTGTAGGACACACTCCAGTCTCAGACAGTGAACTTCATTACTCTGCTTAGGCATGGGAGCTGGAAGTGGAACCCCAAGCCTGAGTTTTACACTAACTATGACACCAGCCACTGAGGGGTTAAAACCCTTTTGCTTACATTTATGTTTTTAACTATGAAAGACACTTGGTTCAAAAGCCTTATTAAGCATATCCTCAGAGCAATAGCAGCCTCAACCTGACTTCTTCTGTGCTACCCACCATGCCCTCCAGAGCAAACATTTTCATTATTTTGTACTTCATACTTCCTGAGGCTCTTTGGAGCAATTAGGAGTTCCAAAAAGCAATCCAAATGTGTAAATTTCCTTTTCCATAAAGGACAACTCACTGGACATAACCTTTGCATATAATGCAGTTTCACTTAGCCTTAGAATTTGCTTCCTCTCAGGGCTCAGAGACCTTCATTTTTATTAGCTGCATAGAATTCCATTGTGTAGGCACACTGTTGTTCATAAACCAGCATTCCCTAATATGCATTTGCTTCATTTCTAGGGTTTTGCTGTTGGAAATATTGCCACAATAAAAATGCTCTCTCAGGTGCAGTGGTGCTGTTTTTGTTGTTACTTCAGTTACTTTTCTCTCATTGCTGGGACAAAATACACACTGCCCAGCATTAAGGAAGGAAAGGCTTACTTAGCTCACAGTTAGTGGAGGTTTCAGTCCACACTCAGCTGGCTCCAAGGCAGACAGCACATGGCGGAGAGCAGCAGTTCATGGCGGCAGAAGGCAGCAAAACAGCAGGAGCAAAAGGGAAGAGTAGCAGCAACACTGGTCACAGAGAGCAGGTCTGTCTCCTTCATGCTGCATCCAGGCTCTCCGCCCCAGGCATGGTGCAGCATTCACACCCATAACTGCAGCAGTACTCACACTCATAATCCCAGCTTTGGATCATGGGTTAATTGCAAACTCTAGAACGCACCCCAATGACTGCATGAGGCTTTGGGGGAACACCCAGACACAAACCATAACACTTGCAGAGTTCAGTGATGTGGCGCTGGGATGCTGGGGTCCTGACTTGGACTGGGGACTGTTAGGGAAACCCCAGATAGCAGGTTCCTATACCCAGTTCCACCTGGGCACCCCAGCTTTGCTCTTTGGCTCCTGGACACAATTCTGCACATGGTCCTAAGAGACAGCCAGGGACCAGAAGGGAAGGGGGTCAAGCTCCCTGCAGCCCCTGAGCTTGGGGCCAGCAGTCATCAGGGTACACTTGCTTCCAGAGTGTCCAGAGCTCGAGGGTCAGGCTACAGGAAACTGACTGACTGTGGTGGGGACTGAGAATGCAGAAGACCCATTTTGTGTCCCAGGGTGGACGACTCCATTTCTGGTTCATCAAAAGAGAATGGTGAGAGGAGTTTGATCTGGGGCAGAGACCTGAAATTACTCTTCCAGCCAAAACATTGATTTATTTAGCTGTCTGAACTTTATTCCTTGAAGTGGGCAAGAGTGAACCAAGCCTAAATTAAATTCATTTTCCAGTAATAAAACTGGGTCACTCTGGGCTGCCTGAGTCCTTGTGTTTTAAGTCCTGTTCCAAAAGCAACAGTGTTTCACTTAATTTTCATAACCCTATAACTCAGCCACCTCACACCATCACCTACCTGTCCCTCACATGCCACTATAGCTTCTACCTTGTTATGCAGCTGACCATGGCAGGAAGGCACCAGAGGGACCACCCTGCCCTACCTGTGTCCCTGCGTGGCAGCTTTGTACCACGTGATACTAGAAGCTCTGTTTACACACAGGTTGATAAAATGGATCTTGGAGGTAGGAGGTCATGAATAGCAAAAGTGGGTGGTCTGGGTGAGATCAACTTAGGAAGCCTGTGGATGGGTCAGCACACTTTGACCTCAGAGCTCCCTGAGCTGGTGGTGACACTTGCTGGGAGTGTGCATGGGGAGGTGAGGTCTCACCTGCTCTGTCCCGCAGTGTGGGCCTGGAGTCCCTTTGGGGCAGGCTGTCAAAGTCCTCCTGTCTTCCTGGGTGTGGTAGTGGAACCTCAGTGGCCTCTGGGTGCTGCTGAGTGATCCCCTCTCACACAGTGCTGCAGACATGGGTCCCTACTGAGAATGAATGATTTTAGTATGGGTTTTGGAGTACTATAAAAGCAGAATCTAGAAATGGTAAAAGTATGAGACATGTCTTTCAAAAAACACAAGCAAAAAGGGAAATAGAAATATTTGATGTGTTTTATTTCTTCTGCTCTTTGCTAATCTTAACCACAGCACTGTGGATGTGTTTTGAGCTGGGATTGTGGTGAGGCTTGCTGGTAGAGTACTTGGCTAGCAGGCACGAGGCCCTAGCTTCAGCCTCAGCACAAAGAGAACCTTTTATTTACCTTTGTGATGAAATGACTACACTTTATATTTAGAGATTAGAAAAATAATAAGAAAATAAATGTTTCCTTCTCCCCTTTCAGCATTTAAAAGATCTAGACACTCGTGAGAAAGGGGCAGCAGGCTCTCTAAGCAACGCCTGTGCCGTAGCTCCGGCTGCTCCCACTTCAGAGCTATGTCCTGCTCCCTCTTTGTTGCCTTCATGAGATCTCCACAGCGTGTGAGGAACTCACCACTGACAAAATTTCTCTTGTTTCTATTTCCAGTGCATAGAGGCCAAAAAACATTGCTGGTATTTTGAAGGACTCTACCCAACATATTATATGTAAGTATTTGTGCTTTTCCGTTGATTTAATTTTGTGGTCACATCTTTCTCTGGGAATGATTTCTTTCTTGGAGTAGGACTTGGATACAGGGTGGAAGGTCAGGTGGGGCCTCATTTCCAGCTCCTGCTCTTGGTTCTGGGGCCGCTTCCACTCACAGCAGGAGCACTGAGCTGGCACAGATGAGGTCCTCTGAGGAAGTGAAATACTGTGTGGTCTGTTCTGTGTGGTGACTTAACTCCTGCATGCCTGGTAAAAAGGAGCAAGATGTCTGGGAAGGAAAAAGCTCAGCTGAGCCCTGTGACTGTGTGGCGTGTGTGCACATGCATATTTTTGTTTGCCTGACACCATGATGGTTAGCTTCCCCTGAGGTCCGCTCCCCAGATGGGTGCAGCCACAGACTTGCATGGCTGTCGGCTTGGAGCAGGCTTTACTGCTCCTTGCACTTGCTCCACATCTTCCAGCCTTGCCCTGATTAAAGCATTGCTGTACTTTCTCCTTATTGTTTTTGTAGTTTTAACATCTGCTGTGTTGGCCAACAGCTATGCAGAACTACCTGCCTGGGTGCCCAGATCGCCTCTCTACCACACCAGGGCTTGCTTTTTATTGTGTTTAGAAGCTCTTAGTTTTTAGAGGAATGTACCAAGCCAATTTCCCCACTCTGTTGTTCGTTTGTTTTGTTTGGCAGAACCAGGGATTGAACTCAGGCCCTTGCGCTTGCCAAGGAAGCGCGTATTCCACTGAACCATGTCTCCAGCCCCATTCTGTTGTGTTCAATGTTGAATTTTGTAAAATGTGAGATATTCTGAGAATACATATACATTGTGTTATAGCAGAAACACTTCAAATTCTAGCATATCGAGTAACTGGAGAAAAAGCACGTAATACCGTCAGCCCTCCATAACCAAGGGTATTGCCTCCTTCAAAGAACATTCAGCAGGAAATTTATGAAACCGGCTCACTAACAGGCATGTACAGACTCTTCTCTTGTCATTTCTGTCCAAACAATACAATATAACTGGTGTTTACCTTGTCGTAGGTGTTATAAGTGATCTGGAGTGCCTCAAGACCTGAGGATGTGCACAGGTTTTATAGAATTCAAGGCTATTTTATAAAGGCGATATGGGCACCTTTCGATTTGGGGAATCCCAGGGGTATTGGAACCAGTCTCCTCAGATTCCCCAGGACACCCACATAACCAGAAAGATTGTTCTCTAGGATGGATGTTTTTCTCACTTGTCACTCTTGAGGAAAGCACTGAGGGGGAAGAAGGAAGATGCCCATCTGGGGAACATAACAAACTGGCAGCATCTTGGTCTGACTCTCTCAAGCAGGAGTTCTGGGCCCAGTCTTGGGGTTCCTGGCAAACAACCTTTGCAGCTGCTAGGGACAAAATCCACTTGGAAAATGAAGCAGCTGCATAAGGACTTGGCTATAATTACAGAGTTGTCGGGTTGATGAGGAGGGCCTGTGGACAACAGGGAGCTAAGTTATTTGGGTTCTTCAAGGTTTAATGAATTTCTGTTGGTAAGCCTTATTTATGTTCTCAATTTGGTTTCTTGCACAGACATGAATATTACCCATACCTCCCAGTGTGCTTTTTCTTGGGAACAGATTTTGCTCCTGTTGTTCTGTAGATCAATTTTGTCAGAGGCTGGAAGTCAGGAGCTGTTCTTATATTTATTCTCCTTTTTCCTTTGTGCACTCACGGATTCGCTCCATGTCTGAGAGTGCTTTTGCACTGAGCCAGAGAGGGACAAGGACTGCTCTGTCGCTGAGGCCTGCTGGCCTGTGACCTTCCACTTCTTTTTCTGTCTGAAAATGGGGAAAGGAAGCCAGAGTCCCCAAATGTGCCTCCCCCAAAAGTAAAACAGTGGGGTCAGGCTGTTAAAGTGCTGAGCCTCGGTGCAGCCCAGGCCCAAGCTCACACCAGATCAAGGCCCTGGAGACCCCAGCCCACCTACCGCCCTCTGAGTCTGCTCTCCAGGCTCTCTGTGCTTGTCCTCACCGGCACAGAGCTTGCTACCTGCCCCTCTGTGTCTTTGCACTCAGTCCTTGCTTCTTTCTAAATTTTCTGGTCACTTTGCTGATTAAAAACATCAGGAACAAAGTCCACCTCGTTGGCCACCTTTAAGTGGCTGGTTGGATATACTGTGCAGCCACAAGGGCAGCGACGTAAACTCTGGTATTCCCTGTGCCCAGTCTTGCCTGATCTGAATGTCAAGTTCACGTTTCCTGCTGGTCCCCACCACGCTGTCACTTTGACTCGCTCAGGTGGCCGTCAGCATGTTCCAGACCTCTGTCCTGCAGGAGCCTGAGGCAGAGCTTGCCACTCCCTTCCCCAGCTCAGACGGCCACAAAGGGCTGGACAGTGGTCACTGACAGCATGAGTCTTTTTTTTTTTTTTTTTTTTTTTTTTTTGTCTTTAGCCTTTTCTTTATTATTTAAATACTTCATTTTATTTCAGAAAGATAAGGATCTATTACACAACCCAATAATAAAATGACAGTGTGTCTTCTTATACACAGAAAAATGATGAGTATGTATAGGTGATAAAATTAAACATGCCAAATGAGTTATCAAAATTAAAACAATATTGAGTAATAACATAGTTTGGTTTTTATTTAAATATTCAAAATAATACTGTCTGAGTTACCAAGATATCCCAGTAGAAGGTGACGTTTAACTATTGGCGTTTGATATTTAAGCAACTCAGTGAATGGCAGGGATCTGGTTGACAGGTTTTTTTGCAGAGCAATCTCCAGTTACTATGCGCTACCATGGCTGCATAAGTTGCCACATTTCTCTCAGATATTAGATAGTTTATTTTTGCTAAAAATGTGACAGAAGCTTTCAAAATCCATGGTTCATTAAAATAATACAAGAAGAAAGTAAAGGAAGGAAGGATGGATGGAGAAAGGGAGGGAGAGAGGAAAGGAAGAAAGGAAGGCATAAAGGAAGGAGGAAGGAGCCCTCTGCTACATTTCTTCATATAACTTTCTGTGAAAACTATTTCACAGTTCTGATTTTTTAATTTTTTTTCATAATTTTACTGAGAAACAAATACCAATGAGACAGTTTCAAATCAGTTGGTAGGACAGTTTCAATAATTAACATGTTGCATGGTTATTTGTTGTACAAGATGCAGACATGATATCCTATTTACAGACAGTATTAGAACAAATCCCTCTATTCATTGAATTTAGGGAATGTAACTATATATCCTAACCATTTTGAATACACAGATACAAAATGGTCATTCATCTGTATTCCCTTTTTTTGTTTAGTTCTGTCATTTAAATATTATAGGTGTGTGAACTCAGCAAAATATTCCAAAATAGTCCAGTAGTCCATCATAGTTTTGGGTCTTCCACTTGACTGGCAATATCAGAAGTTGTTGCCTTGAGCCTTTTACAGCTCAGCATATTAATATGGCTTTACTTTTTATACCTCGTTTTTATACTTTTCTGCTGCATGGCTATGACCAAGATAAAGCAAGACCTATGCAACAAGAGTTATAGCTTTTGGATCTGATAAGGTCAGTCAAATCCCCTCAGGATTTATCCTAAGATCCTGTACCTCAGATTGTAGATCCCTTGTCAGTGTCAGCCATGTGGATGAGTCACGGCCGTTGCATATATAGTTGGTCAGAGTGAGAATCCTTCCCATTAACTGCTAGATTCAAAAATCTTCTGGAGATTCTCAGGATCATTGCCTTGCCCATCTTGTACATATAACTGCACGGGTTGCCTCTGCCATGTTTCCTGTCTCTTCTTCTTGCTCTCTCTTCATTGTCTAGTCCTCAAGTTCTTCCTTTCCTTTTAATTGTATTATACCTTTCTATTTGTATTTCTTCTTTTGAGTTCTTATACTAGGGAAACTGTATGACCTTTACATATGTGTCTGGTTTATGTCACTTATCAGTATATCTTCAAGTGGCATCCACTTCAATATAAGGGCTTCAAGTTTATCATTCTTTATAGCTGAGTAATACTCCATTGTATAAAAATACCACATCATTTTCATCCATTCCTCACGTGACGGGCATCTTGGTTGTTTCCAGGATTTGGCTATCATAAATTGTGCTGCTGTAAACATAGGTACACATATATCAATATGATATGATGTTTTCAGATCCTCTGGGAAAATTCCTGGTAGGGGAATAGCTGGTTTGAATGGGATTTCCAGTCCTAGTTTACTAAGGAGTCTCCACTCTGATTTCCTTAATGGTTCCACCAGTCTACATTCCCACCAGGAGTGGAGAAGGGTTCCTTTTTCCCCACAGCCTCTCCAACATTTGTTGTTGGTTGATTTCTTTATGATAGCCATTCTTTCTGGGTGAGATATCTCAGTGTTGTTTTACTTTGTATTTCATGGATGGCTAGTGATGTGGAGCATTTTTTCATATATTTATTCGCTTCTTTAATTTCATCCTCTGAGAAGTGTGTGTTCATTTCAGATGCCCATTTCTGGACTGGGTCTTTAAATTTTGGAGCCCTAGTGTTTTTTAGTTCTTTATAAATTCTAGAGAGCAGACTTTGTCTGAGTACTTACTTGTCAAGATTTTTTCAAAGTTTGTGAGTTGTCTTTTCACTTTGTTGGTATTTTCTTTTGATGTGCAAAAACTTCTCAATCTTGTGCGATTTGATTTTTGTTCATGAACTCTTTGCCTATCCCTATGTCTTCAAGAGTTCCTCCTACTTTCTCTTCCAGGAGATTTAGGGTTTCTGTTTTAATGTTTAGATCTTTAATCCATTCTGATGTTAGCTTAGTGCATGGTGATAGACCTGGGTCAAGTTTTAGTTTTCAGCATGTAGAGAGCCAGTTTTTCCAGCATCAGTTGTTAAGGAGGCTATCTTTCTTCCAGTGAGTATGTTTGGCCACTTTGTCAAAGATAAGGTGGCTGAGTGTGTTGGTAGAGGCTACAGCATCTTCTAATCTATTCCACTGACCCTCAGGTCTATTTTGTTGTGAGTACTATGCTGATTTTATCACAGTAACC